GGCTCGGCCAGGCCCAGCGGGGGGTTGCTTTTACCGGGAGGTGAAGTTGTTCGTTGCCCGAGTCACTGTCGGCCCCGCGGTTTGGCACTGTGCCGTCCTGGGAGCTTCTCTTAATAGCCAAATTGTGATTTTTATTTGTTTTATTTTCACTTCATGCTGTAAATCTACAAACTGTTGTCAGATATGTTATGGAGGGCGCTGATGTTACATAAATATTTTACCTGAGCTTCCCCCCATCCCTGGCCAGAAAGTATTTTTTCCTTTTCTTTTTTTTTTTTTTCATCCAGTGACACATAGACTATGTTCTGATCTCTGCCCTCCAGCACTGTAGCATCTTATCCAGGGCTGAGTTAGTGTTAAATGTCTTCTGTGCTCTACAGATCCCATCTCCGAGGTCCTGCCAACCTAATGGAGCCAACAGAGAAGCCCTGCAGTACGAAATCGAAGAGCTGAAACAGAAAGACCTTGCTCTAGACCAGGAAATTGCACAATTATTGTCTGAGTATGTCCTTGGCATTCTCAGTGTTCACTGTGATGCCTCAGTTACTTTTGTTTTTAAAACAAAATGTGGTCCAGGAATTAGAGCTAAAAGCTGACCTCTTATGATGCCATTTTTATCATGGTGCGATACAATGTTCAGTACAATGATGTTTTGAGTTATGGGACCTGTTAAAGACAAAAGGGAATTCTTTCTGACTTGTTTGGCAAAGCAAAACAAGTTTTACTAGGAGCATGGGTAAGAAAATTTTAACTTTAGCCCAGATGTTGCTGAGGTAATTACATGTAAACTGGGAACGAATAATTTTAACCATCATGATACTACAACATGTCATGCTACCAGAAGAGCTTGTTCACGTGAGGATTAAAATTGAGATCATGACTTCTATGACCTGCCAAATTTGGTCCCAGATAAAACTGTTTCCTTTTTTATTCCATCTTGATCAAGTATTAGGTTGTTTTGTGTCTGAGGCAAGTGAGTTAAACGGTTGTGTTTGAGAAACAGAGGGGTTTTCCAGGCAAGCAAGTGGCCTGCAGAACATTTCAGCCTGATGGGTGCCACGCACAGGGTAGTGCAACTGCTTTATTGTGGTTTCTTATGACACACTGTGGCAGCTGCTTATTAGCAACTGTTTTGAGATAAAATTGCGGCTTGATTTTTAAAGAGAGGGAATATCTGTAGGTTATTCATTGTGAAGGAGTGATATTTTCTAAGATAGTGCAGTGTGTAAAATGAAAATGGTAGGACAATAAAGGCTGTTCCAAAAGCTGGGATTTTTTTTATCCTCAAGGATGAACAGACCACCTTAATTTTTTTTTTACCAAGCTGCAGATTAGAGATGCGTACAAATCGAATTCACCACAGCCTATTCCTGTTTCTCCTTGATTCTGAGAATCCAGGTGGATTGGGTTTTTTTTATAAGCCTTGATGTGGCAATAACCCTCAAAACAAGGATCTGCTCATTTGTAGGTTTCATATTGACAACTTGCAGCAACTGTACTTGCTGCCTTCAGATTCTGCTTTTGATGTGCCAGGTTTGGGTATCTCAAATATCTTTGCTGTGCTTGGTCGGTAGTGGCAGCACTTGCTATGCAGCAGCAGCAGCAATCCCGCTGTGTCATTTCTGACCTTTCTGGCTTTATTGTTACAGAGGCTACAGCCTGGAGGAATTGGAGAAGCACATCTCTCTGCTCCATGAGTATAATGATATTAAAGATGCTGGACAGATGCTGCTAGGCAAGCTGGGTAAGGAAGGGGAATGCTGTTGAAGAACTTCTTGGCCAATGTTTTCATATAGACACAGAGAGAGAAGCTACCATGCCGTGAAGGCAGAGCTTGTTTAAAAGATTCTTCAGTTCTAGGCTTGTATGACCTAATCACTTGTGCAAGCACAAATGCTTCTGTCATTATTTTCTCAGGATGTTTTTAGAACTGAACAAGTGAAATAACAATTATTTACCAGTATTTTAATCTGTGTTATGAATTACCAAATCTTTATAAGTCTTGCTATTTTTTCTCAGTTTTGCTCTTCATGTACTTAAAAAAAGAAAAGTCTTGAGACAAGGAGGGAGCATAGCTGTAAAACTTTCGACTGCTTTCTTAGCTATGGGAGGTTCTGTGGGATAGTCAGGGGCTACTGGGAGGAAAACACAACTCTTCTGATCTTTGTTTAATGAAAGCAATGGTATTTCTTTCTTTTCTAGCTGTTATCCGAGGGGTTACTACAAAGCAGCTCTACCCTGAATACGATCTGGAGCTTAGCGACTAGTATTGAACCTGAAGACTGTTACATCCTGCAATAATGACTGTTACTGGACCAATATATTTTGGTGTCATAGCAGTTTAGAACTGAGATAAGGTGGCCTCGGAAGTATGTACGTAGAATTGCAACAGAGTGTGGGTTAACAGCATTATTTCTAGGAAGCTTTGGAACATGAAAGTTGTTGAATCTATCAACTGTTTACTGCTTGCGGGAAAGGGATGTAGGATTTTGGATAATTTTGTCTACTACCTGGTCAACAGTATTTTTGGGTTTTTTATTGGAAAGGTCGTAATTCAGGTTGATGTTAAGACTTCACATGAAGCTTTTGCTTCTTTATGAATCCAGGGACTATTTGGATACTGAATGGGTAGAGGAAGTGAGGGCATACGAATGTGCAATGTAATAGCTGCTTTGAAAGAAAAGAAAACACCCTCAGGATTAGGGAGGAAAGAAGTTTTATGTTTTGTTTTATGATCAAATCTGGATAAGTCTGGGTGTTCTGCATTTTTGTACTTAACTGCTCTGGTATCTAGAGGTTTTGTATCATTTCTGTAGTAAATGGCAAAATGTGAAGTTGTGTTGAACTGTCCAGTCTGAATAAAGCAGCTATCACATTTCTCAGTAATTCACTTTAAGAGCCTATAAAACATTGCATGAACCTGGGAACAAATTTTTAAACTATATTCCGAGACAACTGTAACATCTATTATTTAAATGTTTTCTGAGGGCTTAATGGAGACAGTGTGGCAGCGCTACCCAGTAATGGGTAGGTGCCGAATTACCTTTCTTCTCTTCTAAATGCAGAGTCACCGTGACAACGAGCGGTGTCCTAAACACAAAATTGTGTTGAGAGCATGAGTGTTTCAGTGTCAGGTGTTAGGATTGGGGGTGACTGTACAGACTAAATTTGGCTGCTTCGTGCAGTTCTAAGTGATAAAGTGCTCTGCTGACTGCAGATCTATTGTCCCTTTTTCACTCAAGCTTGATGTCCTTCTGCCCTTTTTTACTTCTAAGACCTTCTTGCCAGTAAGTTTCCCCCCGGTCTCTGGTCAGGCCCATGCTGCATTCTGCTCATTATTTCCAAATTTGAATCAAATGAATCTCTCTTTGTACTGCTTGGAAACCCAAAAAAGGTCACAAGGCTGCTGCTCAGAACAGACAATTGTTTCTGTGCCCTCAGTTCTGGACCTGGCCCAGAAGCATCGCTAAGAAGTATCTTGTTTTACCACAAAAGCTGTGGGGAGGGGTCGAAAGCAGGGGGACAGGCAAAATATCTGTATTCTGTGACATGGATGTGTTTTAGTGGTGGTTTTGGCAGTGTTAGGTTTATGGTTGGAGTCGATGATCTTAAAGGTCCCTTCCAACCTAGATGATTCCATGATTCTATTCATTCAAGCAAATTTCTGCTAACGTGCAGTTGTGCTTCTCTGGCAGGTATTTATTATGGCCATATAATATTGGACTGTCTTGGGTATGGTTACAGGTATATCTTCCCCACCATAACCCCCCTTTTGACAAGTGTGAAAAAATCCCGTGTTTTGGAGTAGTTTTAAGGGGAGGAAAAAATCACAAGAAGGCCAGAACTGGGAAATGCTAACTTTGTTCTCAAAGCCCACGTTGTTATTTTGGCTGGTGTTTTCTCTGTGGAAGAGCTGGTTTATCCTGGAGTGTTCCCACCAAAATGTTAGTCTGGCACTGGCACACACAACTGGAAATGTTTTTTGCAATGGGAAGTATGTACAGAACTTCCTTCAGTTTGCGTTAGGTGTAAGCTGCGGGGGATGAAGTATATACTCCGTTAACAAAGTTATTGAAGGTTATTTAAGGACTGAGAAGTCCATGTTTTCTCCTCCCTGTAGGAGTATTAAAACTTGCAGCTGTAGCCGTGCAAGTCTTCTGCCTGGCTCCAGAACTCACACTTCCACGGTTATGGGTTTATGCTCCAGTTAGCACTGGACCGTTGTCTGTGGAAGGTGCCCTTGACCCCCGTCCCTTGTCCGTGGAGGAAGAATGCGCACAGAAGCACCCAGCTGAGGTAAGAGCAAACTGCCCTTGGGGAGTCCCTGCGGCTCTGCAGCTGGCACAAGGACGTGCCGCATGGTGGCAGCTCTGCTCCTCTGCTGTTTTGGCTGCTCTGTTGCAGAGCAGGGAAACCCAGAACAACGGAAAGATTCCAGGGTCTAATTTAATGACTCCTGGGGTACTTCAGGACAGGGCTCGACTCTGCCACTTAGGTACTTCATCACAGGCCCTCTTATTGCTGCTCCTAGAGTTACTTCTTGTAGCTTAATGGCTATCTCTCTGGAGGATGAAATATGCTGGCCTTTGTCCAAATTCAGAAGAGGAATAGAACAAATCTGCTTTCTATAAATAAATCTCCAAACTTGCTAGCTAAGGGTATAGCTGGAAAAATATTGAGTGCAATAATGGTAAGTGTAACTTCAGATTTTTAATTTAAATTTAGAAAGTGTATTTCTGCTTAGTCAGACCCAGCTATAATGAGCTAACAGAGAACAAATGGTGTTACAGAGCTTACAGAGTTTCACTGAAGGGCAGTACGTGCTGTCTGCGTGGAGCTGCTGCAGAGCAGGACAGCACAGACCCCCAAACACCCTTGGTTCCTCGGAGGGGTCGCGGGGGGAAGCAGCATGCTCTTTTCTAA